CAGAGGCAATGCTTCACTGTGTTATTGATTCTATTTTGACTACTCCATATTTTAAGCATGCTAAATTTACTCAAAATTAGGTAAAGGAAAGACACTGAATAGTTCGAATATTTACTACTAACTCATGAGTAGCCCGAATAGCTCACAACACGACGGAAAAAACGTCGAACGTGAAGAGAATGAGGTGGAATGGGAAGGCACGAAAGACTCTAGTTCACCTGCCCAGAATTCTGAACAGGTTGTCAATCGTTTTGAATCCTCTATTCCGACCGATGCATCCCCCACGCCATATTCAGAGCAAGATGTGGATAATTATGAACAAATAAGCAGTGATAATGACGTTGGGGATTATAAAAGAGTAAAAGGTTCATTATACGACGAGGAATATAATACAGAAATCCAGGCCGAACCGCCTGAACCTCCGGACAACGTCGGTTATGAAGTACGTCAATATGGTCCTGGCGAACCTGCACCTTCTTCAAAGAGTGATTATGCTGTCTTGGATAACGCGCAAGCGGCATTTTCACCATACCACGCATCTGATCTGAGGGAGTCTCCGAAATATCCCTTTCAGAACGCGGAACCCTTTACATTTCCATTACAGAACCCATCCCAAGGTGTGCAAGCGGAAAATGTCTCTTCATCCGAGCCAGCGACTCTAGACGATCTTAACATGATTAAGAGGGAAAAGATAGAGGCAAGTACCCCGGCCAATCCAAAGAGTTTTAATGAGTCTGCCCCTCAAATCGATGACGGGCTATCCATGAAATCTCTGAGCATCTTACGGTCCCTTTCAACGACCATCACGACCGTTAATAAAGGGTTTGTCGATATCACGTTCACTTTTTATCCCATGGGCTTCCAAACCCGATTGACGCATCCATGCTATAATATAAACGCCTTTTCGGCGGAGGGCGCCACCATACTTTCCGAGTATAACGTAATTTCCTCCAGCAGTAGTGAAAGGAAGGAATGGGTTTTGATCGCTAGAGACCTTTTTGAAATGATTGCACGCCATATATGTATGCATCCACAGTCATTTGTCCTTTACTACCAAGACAAGCGCGTTCGTTTTAATTCACTGATGTTTCTAGAGCGCGAACGAGGGCGAAGCGCTCCTCGAGAGGATCCTTCGATTGGCCCATCGAGTGGGATCGAGAATTCCGTGAATGGGATGCGAACCGAGCCGCTTTGGCTTTCCGTCGCCTTCTCTAATATCGCGCGCACGATGCCGACGAGTGTAATAGATTCCAATTTTATATTTTCCGACAACCACTTCGCCTCTGACGGGGCTCTCGATGAATCCCAAGACGCCCATCCCCTTTCCCTGACCCCGTCGTTGGCGAATGTCCCGCGCCATTTAGCCTCGATCACCAAAGGGGAGTTCCTCTCCAAGTGTATTTTGGTGCGGAAAAAGAAAATCGCCATCGCCCCTGAGGCCCTAGTCAAGGGCCGTCGGGCGGGTTTCACCTTCGACGAGGTGATCCAACGCCTTCAGCGCCAGGACCCCCCGGTCGCGGGCGATGCCGCCCTCTGGACGGCGGTGTCGATCCTCCGCGACCCTGCCCCACGCCCGAAGGCCTTTTTGGGCGGCTACACCGTCCACCCCCCCCCCATCCGCCTGCTCCTGCACGCCAGCACGCAGGCCTTCATGGCGGGCCTGGACTACTCCCCCCACGGCGGGGCGAAGCGCGCGGGGCGCATTTTGGCCGACCTGCGCTCCCGCCAGACCCAAACCTACGGCAAATCCCGCGGCACCCAAACGCGGCGCGAGGGCTGCGCGCAGACCCCGCGGCCGGACCTCCTGCTGGACCGCGCCCACGACGTCCTCGTGCGGGCTCGGCCCTACTTCACCGCCGCCGCCCTCCGCGCCCTCCGCGTGGCGAAGGCGATTCTCCTGCAGAAGATGTACCGCCAGTGGAAGGCGCGGCAGGTCTGCCGCGCCCTGTACGAGGCCGAGACCGAGCGCCAACTCCGCATGGCCGCGCGGCAGCGCGTGGAGGAGGCCGCGGTCCGGGCCCGGGCCGAGATCGAGCGCCACCGCCGCCTGAACCCGCACCGCGCGAACGACTTCGGCGTGCTCAAGGAGGAGCTCCTGCAGTGGCGATCCCACAAGGCCAAAAGCATCACCCAGGATGGCGCCCTCTCCGCCGAGCAAAAGCGCGCCGCCTTGCTGGCGTTGACCAAGGAGGAGGTCAAATTACTGCAGGATCTTGAACTTCACAGGAAGTCCGTGAGGCAAAACCAGCAAGGACAACGACTGGTTCGCGTTTTAGAAAAAGCGGCTTCCGCAAAGCAATGGGGCGGGATCTCCGTCACGACCCCTGGCACCCTCCGCGCTGCCGAGCTGAGAGACCTTTTCTACAATCTTACCAGCAATGATTTTGATGTATCGTCGAGAATGGATATATTATTGCACATTAAATGGACGGTGAAGGAATTTCCGGATAGTAGTGAATCCAAAGAACTTTGCCAGCTCATTGACCGCGAGGCGGACTTGATTAATCGTGGGTGGAAGTCTGCCTCTTTGGTGGAGCTGCGAAAACGCATTACCAATATCTTTAGGAACTTTATTCTAGACCCGGAATATAACCCCGAAATGATTCGTTATAACGATTCGAGTATAGCCCGTCGGAAGGCCGAAACACTTGGTAGAGACAAAATAACACCGGGCTAATCAGAAGGAGGGGGGAGAGGGGAAAACTCAGGCCTGAACTTTCTTGTCTTGGAAAGCAGTTTGCCATCATTATGGCCGTGCTCCTGTAATAGTATCAATCACACCTAAGCGTGTATGTGTACTACTCATAATATTTCATGTAGAAGCTGTTGAGGAGAAGTTAAAGTAAACATCAATCACACTAGTGCGAACTTTTTCTTCAAGGATTTAAAAACAGCTGCATGAGGGGTTCTATCTTTCTGGGGAAGGAAAGGATACGCCATTTTTTCGTTTTACCTATAGGCGGTGTCATTCTGTAGTCAACATGTAGTCTCTTACTGCATTTCTTTTTCCTTATTGTCTAATATTGAATTGAGGTTTGAGTCTGGTGATTTTTTTTTTTGCAGATATATGTAAACTGTAGAACTTAACATTGTTATTTTACGATTGGCTTCATTATGATTGATGGCACTGTTTACCACCCTTTGGATGTATAGTAGCATGCATTGATTAAGCGGTAATAGAGAGCGTGCTAGAGATCTAAGCATAAATTGTGAAGTTACCTATTTTCCTGTTGAAATAATTATTCGAAAATGATACTTTTCATTAACAGTCACTTTTGTGGCCCTTGAAACGAGAACACTCATTAGTTGCTTAATTGAATAAAGGAGCTCATTTACAAATAGACAAAATTCCATAGATATTTCCTCCGATAGATGTTTTCTGGACTGAAAGGACGCTTACAGCAGAAGCAGGCTGCTGGGGTGTCTCACTCAAAATCGGAATCAGCTTTACCACCTGTGGCGCAGACTGGAGAATCACTTTTGACATTAAAAGGGGCTAGCCATCAAGATAATTCAAAGCTTCAGGATCCTTACGCTTTGTCTGTGCATACCGCATTGTATAACCGAAAGCGAGAGCGTGGGAACTCAACCACGTCTCATTCCGTTATTGATGCGCCTTCACACAAGTTAGCCGATATCGCCTCAAGCAGTACGGAAGATGCCGACAGGGTATTAGAACGTCCACAGCATGATGATTCAAGCCAGTTGGAAGCGCGCTCTGAATCCAATGCACCTGCAAAAGATCCGATCAATAGTCTTGCTATACCTTTACCCTCGCCTTGTATCCTTAGTGAGGATAAAATAGTATCCCAACGGAACCTTGCCTTACATTCCTTGGCCATCTGCATGCGTACCGCATCTTGTTTTTGGAATCCAAGTGGGGCTAATGACCGTAATGGTATCAGTCCCACTTTGAATTTCTGGGGACTGCCAACTTGTGTGGAGTCATATCTTGACAAGGTCTTTCTAGGGGGTGATGAACCTGGAAGTTTCAAGGGAAAAGACGACGTATATCTGGAAGATGAGGAATTTCAACTGTTGAAAAATGTGTGTGAAGAATTAGGCGCTAAGCAGGAATCAGTTTCCCCGGTATCCTATGGTAGTGGTTTCGCAAAACCAAGTATAAATGTTGACATGACTGTTGAAAAAAACGAAAAACGTGAGAATACGACAGGTTCCCTTCAATTGGCGCGTTTAATTCATGCCATATGGTATCTTATCACCTCACAGTGGCGACACGCGGTGCTGGGTGTCCCATCTAATAGTTCGGAGGCGTCTTCGGCGTCATTCCCTAGTACCGGGTGGTGTTATTTAGTTTATTTACACAAACATCATATGCTCCCCGATACCATTAAAAACACAAAGGGCTATGATGTGGCACTGCAGCTTGAAGCTTGGAGGGAGGCGCAGCGAGTTCGTCGTAATGCGCTGGAGCTTCTCGCGTTATTAGTGAGGGACTACCGCGTTATAGGTTCTAAAAGCACAACATTACGTAATTACAACACCGCTACTCAAATGACTTCAGGTGAAAGAAAGAAATTTTCGAAGATGGGTGAGTCCTCCAACTCTTCCTTTTCATCGGATTCCACCAAAGATGAGTTTTTTGTACCTAGAGAAGTTCGTCGGGGATTGGAAGATATGATAGTTAAAAGCATTCAGAACGAAAGAAATTTTACTGCAGCTCGACAACTGTACACGGATCTGACACTTGGAACGGCTAATTGGAAGGTAGGATTATTTTCAGCCGGAGAGGTTCACATGCGCCGCTCCATCGAGCGTGTAGAACGCAATCACATTGTTCACCTATTGAATAACGAACGTGCCATGAAGATGCTTCACAGTATGCGAGAGCTCATGAATGTAGCCGAGAAAGCCTTAACTTTGAGTGAGCGGACAGAGTTCTTTATCCAATCATGACATTCTGGTTGTAACCACACACTAACTTCCTGGTAGCTATGCCGCTATATGCATGTGTAATTTGTTTAAGTAATAAATAAAATTTTCAAAATTTATCTTTTCATTATCCAGATCTCATAATGTGTTATATTGTTTGTCCCAATGAGTATTTCCTATTCCCGAGCTATAGGCCTTTTGATTTGTTTTCAACACCCTGAAAACATTCGAAATTTAGCGTTCTTTTAAAGAAAACAAAAAAACAAAGGGATGTTTATGCAGACATCGAATTTTAGGTCAAAGTGTATAGGATGTGTGTCGGAGCCTAATGGTGTAATTCATTTTTGAAAATCCTATCCGAACAATATATTGGCTTTCAGCTGCTCATGAGCGTAAAAAAATTACCACTTTTTGTATTAGCTCTATGGAATTTCATAATAATGGGAAACATTCTCAGTATAGCCTTCGCACCTCTGTTGCCTAAGTGGCAAATCCCGATGCCAAGCTAGCCATTAGTACGACAAAACGGTTCTTCGGATATTTTGTAATTATTATCTTTTTATCATTCAACTAAAGGAGCTCACCTATATCGCGTTTCTTAAATCGATCCTTTACATTCAAATAAATGTAACAATATTTAATGTAATAGACTAGCTCTTTAATTGAGTCAAGTTACGCGTTTTATCGGAACACATTGAAGGTTTCAATTTCTTTATTTAGCCTTTTTATATACTTATCATGAGCCATATGAGGTAATACTACTGTTTTTTTTAGTGTTGGAAATTTATAATTTACTCCGCCTACCTTTCCTTTTATTATCTCATCTCCTTTCTAGCTCATCTCAAATACACAACCCACCAAAGGGGAGGCGTGAGTGGTATTCCAATATATATATATATATATATATATATATACATACATATATTGAGCTTTCTCTTTA